TTTCAGCAGTTGACTACTGCACGGATAACGAGCGTAAAATTAATATAGAAATTTTAGACTATAAACGCGATAAAATTTGTTGGTTGCTGACACGTCCACCCTCAAAGCATTTTAAGTGTAAATATAATTTTAGGATTGAATCAGGGGAAAATTTTATTAGGCTCTACTTATCTACGGAATATTGAAGGGATTAGTATTGATGTTTTTTGTATCATTTAGTGGTTCACAGTGGTTGACCTCATTAAAGTGTACATGAAGCAGATACTATGCGAATTAAGGTTACGTTCAGAAACACTAGCTGGCAAGAGTCCCAAGCAGTTTCGAAGGAAACGATGGGTAAAGTACACAGTGCTGCACACAATTATTAGAACAACGGAGAAAGGCGTTTATTTTTCAAAAAATGTTCAGCAGGCGTTTCAATTTAATTAATTTCTGATGGAGAATATTAATTTTACTTCAGGCTACGTTAACATAAAAAAATATGGCTTGTTCCGTCTTAATATTTCAGTTTTCACAAATTCATCAAACTTTTATGATTCTCACGATATTTTCAAGAAAGTTTTATATTAGTAATATGATCTTACCAAATTACTTTCCTTGGTTAAATATTATAAGCATAATTTAATTATAGGCTGAATTCATTTTAAGACAACGTACATTCACGAGTATATAGGCTAGACCGTAAGTCATCGTGAATATTGGAAAAGTTTTGGAGAGACTCTATAGGCTTCATTTCAGAGTGCTTAAAGCAACTTCGCCGAAAGTTTAGTAGGTCGTCGAAGAGTTAAATGATATACCTGCCAGTAGACATCTTTTAGAAGCTTTATTCACCATAGAGACTTTTAATAATTCTTCAAAAAGATATTATTTACGTAACATAGATTATAGAGGGTGCCCTGCAATCAGTGCTAGAATCAGGAAGACAAATTTTATAATTTTTTAAATTTCCGCATTTGATACCTTTTCTTGTAAATCTTATTTCTTAAATATGAAGTTCTTTATAGGATATTAACTATACTTTTAGAATTTGTTAAAAAATACATCTGTTAAGTTGTTTAAATGTACAGTACGATATTATATGCCACAATCATTAATCCCTTGTCATACAATATCCTATCAGATTCGTGAAAAAGGCCACAAACGGAAAATGAGAAAAATAAGTGTCACTCAATTCCTTTGACATCGAATGAAATATTACTCTTTTGTTATCAGTTACTATGTTTTAGAATTAACGTGGACATAGATGAGCATGAAATTCTTCTTTGTGTCTAGTAAATTATCGACGACAAAATAATTCTAACGGGAGCACTTATGAAAGAATCGTATGGCAAGGGGTTAATAAATTGAACGTACATGATATTTAAATTTTGATAATAAAATACACTAACGAAAAGTTACCATGTCGAAGGGATTTTTGCTAATTTAATCTTCTACAAGTTAATCCCGTAAATTGATTAATAATATAAAATGAATTTCAAATGTAAAATGCCAAACACAGATCTTTCTAATGCACTTTCATTCAAAGAACTATAACATACTTGCGAAAATCCGATTAGAAATAACCTTTCAAGATACATAGTTCCTACTTAGCATTATAAATGCTATCTTCGGTCATCTTCGATCCGCACCGCGTTCACTCAGGATTATGCAAATAGGGAACACGAAGAGGCGTTATCCTGCAAAGTGTAACTCGACTTTGTCGATCTATCCGGATGTGACGCAGCTCGTTTTCACCGAGATGCAGTCGGAATCCGTAAAATATTCGTTCACTCCCTCTTGTCTCTTCTTCCATGGTCTCCCACCCCTTTCCACGGCTCTTCTGTTACGACTTCGAGATTAGTATCAAAAAAACGGCAGGATCGAGAATGCAACGTGGATCTCTAGATCCGACGCGCCTGGAAGGATCACGCCTACGATTCTAATGAACTTTCCTTTTATAGCCGGGTACACGTCGCGCATTCTCCACGAGGAGTATCGCGAACTGCAAATCACCGTAAATTACTTAATATTTTCGAGTTGTTCAATTGTAGATTTAATGGACAGGTAGAATAGATGCACCAACTGTGAGATTCTCTGAACTGTAATACTTTAAGATCTAGGAAATGCTTTTATTTTGAAATTTCTCTGTATACTGTAATGTAAAAAACCTATGGATTTTAACCAATTATGCATAAGTTATAGATTTTAATAAACTATACATTATAAGTTATAGGTTTTAATACATTATATATTATAAGTTTTAGATTGTAATCAATTATACAGTGTTATATAGTTTTAAAAAATAAAATGCTTTCAGATAAAATAATTATTCAATGTTAAAAATATTAAAGCCATTGATAGAAATTTACAGGTAAAATAAAAAATCAACACGTGCATCATTTAGCAAGATTAGTTATACTGAAGATATAGAAGCATAAAACTATTTCCAAGTGAAAATGTTACAATAAAATGTTACAAAATCATGTTTTCTCGAAGTTTATTATTAACAAAAATAAATCATACGAAAATGAAAATATATTTTTGTCTTTGTACAATTTATCTTTATGAAAATCATATAAATAAAATTAAAGCCGAATGAAACACAAACAATATCATATCATCACTATTAAAATCTAAAATGCATTCGAGATAAATAATAATATCTGAATTTAAAACTAATATTTTTAATGAGGTAATAATATAAGCTATAAGCCCACCTTAAAATTTTCCTTTAGTTTGTTCTACACAGTATTGAAATATGTTTGACATATAAAGAAATAAACTACCTGAATAAATATAGAGTTCAAACCAAATTAAGTTACAGACTCTAATTGTTAATAATTTTTATTCAGAACTGTAACCAGAGAAACCAGTCAACGAAAACTATCACATTTGTGTATATACGAAGGTAATATAATACAATAAATATCTGGTCACGAATTTTAAGACCGAGTTAATCGGAATTCAAGTTACAGTCGAGGCATCTCATTCATATATCGTAGCAAAGAAACGTAATTGGTGATTTGTGGTGGTTGCGTATGGTACAGCTGCTACGAAGAAGTACCCCAGTCGTTCAGATTTTATCTACGTATCCCAAATGCAGTTATAGACCTTCTATTTTTAAAAGACAACTCGTAAAGCGTTGCAACCTACCGCGATCGACTCTCGTCACCATAGACCGAGATTCTCGAATTTTCTCTGTACCCATGAGTTCCGTTCAAGTGGTTATTAATTATTACGGACGTCACCGTGTCACCTTACTCTGCACTTTATAGACTATCAATGTTTCCCTTTTACACATTTTACAGTTGCGGGTACGATGAGATATATTTCCTTTTTTTTAACGTGCAACTATTATCCTTGAAATACATTTACCTGCCCCAATTGTAATAACGATGATCGATTATATAATATTTATAAATATTTGCAGTTTTGTCATGTTTTGTATGCCATTATATTTATGTACTTGGTCATTGTAAACACAAACACTATATTTAATTTTTATTTATATAGATATTTTAGTATAGAGATAACTTAATATTATAATATTATATTAATTTGTTAATTAATTTTCAGCAAATCATTCTATGATCTGGCCTATTACAATTTACTGACCATACAAGACTTGTAACAATGGAATAAGTTAAGCCAAGTTCGATGAAAAGAAATCTTGAAATAAGCAAACTATTTCAAGCGAATCTGTCGTCACACTTGTTTTATCTGTAGTTAGTGGAAAAGTATTGCTTTGTGCTATTTTATTATCCTTGAATTTATCTTTTTGTTACAGTAAATTTCATTGTACAAAAATGAAAGATTAATTTGTTCAATTTCATGGAACAGCAACATTACAATTAAGAAAAGCAGTCGACGTAAGAAGAACGGAAGAACGACGATTAGCATAATGATGCTATCATTAAACTCAATCTAGTTCATTCTCAGTGACTACAGAAAGACTAGAGGCACTTCTGATCCTCCTCCTTTATGATGGAAACTGGGACGATCGAAACTTTTAAGCTCATGAACCAACTGAGTGCAACTTGTTACTCTCAAAAAGAATCACACAGCTTTAATTGCCACTGCAATTATTAACATTAAAATTTACATAAAAAGATTCTATTTCTTTATCTTTGTATAGTCGATCTTTATGGAAGTCGTATAAAGAAAACTAAAGCGTTAGTTTTATATAACTTTAGCGAGATGATGGGTGAGGTGCGTGTTCGAAATTACTATCACAAGTTTAAGCGAAGGAATCTTTATTCGACCAGAGACCACGAGGACTTCGTGTCAACTCTTGGTTATTAACAGATGATTCTGACTGTGACTCTTACTGTTTATGACTAACTATGTCTAACTATGACTGTCTTTTATATCCCTGCTTCACAGGGGGCAAAAAGGTGAATTTTCCCTAATTGGTTAAACAGCGCATTGGTGTTAACCAATCAGGTACTTCCGGTGATTTTCAATCACCGCCTACTCCTTGCGCCCTTAGCGCGTTCTTTGTGGAAAGACAGTGCGCTTTGGTGGGAGAGTATTCCTTAGTGGAAGTTTGGCAACGCAGCGGAATTTTCTCCGGGCCCAAGCCTCGTGACGCCACTCGCCGAAGATCGCTTGACCATGCATTGCATCCCTTCGGAAATTCATGGTTTGTAACATCTACAATTTGCTACTGAGGCCGTCTGCAAATATTGTCGAAGGAAAAAGAAACTGGGCTATAATTCTCAAAAAACGGCTTTCTCAAAAGTAGCGTCGCTGACCCGCTTGTCATAAATCATACTAGCTGTTTGCACGCCAAATGTTTCTTTATGTCGTGCTTGCTAGCCACTACATAAATCTTATTTTTATATAATTTCAAATATTTAAACAGTGTTTCTACTAATATTCCATATATAATTGAAATTTGAAAGCTGTTAAAATAATTTCCATCTAACAACGTTCTTTGCATTTTGATTCGAATTTCCTGTTATTTTTCTGTTGTGCATCTTTATATTCGAAAGAATTTGTGAATACGTTTAAAAACTTACCATTTGTTGGGCGTTCTTCGGCTTCCGGTTAACGTCGATCACTTTTTGATTGGCTGCAATGAGAAATGTTCGGTAATTAGTACAAAGATACCCTTTGTTTCGATAATCGGTAACTCGTGCATTTGTCGATACTCATTGCACATGGCGTACACGTATAACACGTGACCACGGTACCCTATGCACTAACGACTTTACTGTCGATTTAGGTGTTATGGGTAACTGTTCAATGCCATAAACGATTCGACCATTGAGTATGTACTGTTATTTGCCTCTGAATTATTAGCACATCTTTCATTCACTTTGAAACATAGCCCCGGTGTACAGTGAGCATTCCTATTATCGAATGACAATGAACGTTTACTTTGATCCCCAGTAAATAATTAAATAGATTTATGAAAACATTCTCGCTTTGATCCGTGAAGTAATTAGAAACAAACAGAATGGGATATAATGATGATACTCTATAGATTGACACGGTAAAATTGAAATGAAGGTTTCTTTATGTAACATATAATTCTAAAGAATTATAGAGAATTGTTTAGTGTTTATTAATATAGATTTTTTATTCCGTGTAGGTGTTTTTAATGACATTGTAACCAATTTTATCGAAATATTTACCACTTCAGAAGAAATAGGATTATAAAAGTAGTACTGTGTGATACTATAGAAAATTACTTTCTGAGTGAGAAACAAAAAAGATCTGAATGATTAATAATAATTCTGAAATGAAATTTATTTATAAAAGCGACATTCGTCAAAATCACATTTGAATAAATACCTGCACACTTGAATTTTACTAAAAAAAGTTTTTAATAAACTTTTCAATGATAGTAAATTATTCTTTTGTTTTACTCCTTTTTATTAGTCGTAAGTCTTCGAAATGATCTCAAATTTTCGATCAGTGGTGTAGATACGATAGTGTCTCTTCTTTCAAAATTGACTCCGAAAGTATGAATAGTTGTTAGTAATTATTTTTAATTTAACTTTTTATTGAATTGATACTTTTTTAAAAGAACGTTATGTGAAATAAGACTGTAGTATGTTACTTACTGACTGCTTCCACCAGGTCAGCCAGAAGTACACCGTCACACAGGTCGGACTGAAGGTCTGTAACCCTTCTTTTACAACCACCTCTTTCTAAGTAGTAGTTCGCCCAATCCGTGTAGATCTGCACAGAAATATAAAATATACAATAATTACATTAATTACAAATATTTAAAATTATTTCTAAAACTTATTAATATTTACTTATATAATAAGTAAAATTTCACTTAAATCCTTGCCTTATGATTTACTTCACTACTATGACCGATGCGACTACTTTGCTATTAATAACGTATTGGAAAAAGAGTGGAAATTCAGATATATTCTATCTATAGTTGCTTTAAGGTATCATTATTTATAACAGAAAAATAATGTGTAATTTGAATTCAAAAGAGTTGATTAATATTTATGCTTGTTGAATTCTCTTTAAAATCTTCACCCCGAGCCTGATACGTTGTATAAGGCAAGGGGTTAGAAAGTCAATTTCATTATTAACTCCTTGCTTTATGATATGAAATTAACTCATTATGAAAATTTCAAACAGAAATTAATAACTATCAAGATTGTTTATTCATAATCAAAGTAGAATATCGTTTCTCCGTCATCAATATTTCTCTTTATAGTAAATATAGATTTACAAAAAATGTAAGTTTCTTTTTTTCTTGTAATTAATCATTAGTTCACAAGTATCTTTAATCAACGAACAAAATTAGAAGGCAAGGGGGTAATTCAAGAGACTATTTGTAAATGCTAATTGAGGGAAATTATTTTGTTCTACTACTCGTTAAAAATAATAGTCAAATATAAGGATTTTCAGAATCGTCAGTTAGTAATTGTAATGCAATTCTCATTAGATCGATAAACCAATTATTATGGCGTGACATCGATTGATACCTCTTAGTTGCGTGGTCAGCAAATGTGTACATTTTATTCGTTATGAACAGAGAAAATGAGCAGAGAAAACAAATTATTGTGTGTATATATCCTCTGATATATAAGATGAAAATCCATAATTCTTTTTTTATGCAGTACGATTGTTACAATGCGACAGTAAAAAAGGAGTTATTTAATAATATAGGAACTATATAATTACGTAAGTGAATATTTGACAAATTCAGATTGTATTAATTCCATAAAACATAGTAATTTCTTGACTTAAGTTATATATTTCTTGCTAATAATAAACGTTCGAAACTTTCCCATGGGTAAAATAATAGAAATTCTACTTTTATTAAAAATGCAATATTCTAAGAATATTTGAGAATTTTTATTTCCATATAAAGTGTGAAATTTATCTTGTATGAAATTTATATTGTATAGTAGGACCCCCTATAATCCGAGAAATACGTTCCACATTATACGGATTTCGCATTATGCGAAACTAAGGGAGAAAAAAGTCAGACTTAAATAAATATATTTTTTTAATATAACCGAAAATGATATATATTTAATTTAAAACAACGGAAATGTAAAATTGTTTCATTTTACAATACTTAAACTTAATTTTAAATTTCACTAACGTCAGATTTTGAATACTGGCTCAGCTTCCTTGTCTATCCATTTTTTTTTAATTTTAGAATTTATATATTCCTAACATATTCCTAACATATTCCTAACTGCTCACATTATTTCCTTATGAAGAATGTCACAATTTACAATCAGTGTTATGAGAGTACCGTATTATACGTAGTTCCACTGCTTTTAAATTCGAATGTCTGATTTCGCAATTGCATAATTTTAAGTGCAAAGATTCCAATTTAACGGACACTAAATGATAAAATCATATACATAATTATTCCATACATTTTGTAATCTTTTCAAAAATATTGCACAATGTAATTTATACACTTTTAAACATTAAAAATATTATTTGTAAGCGTCGGTGGAATGTGCAAAATTATCGTGAAATAAACTTAGAGCATTTCTAAGACTTCCACAATTTAAAAAGAAACAATTAAATTCATGTATCTCTTTTCATACAGTTTGATATAAAAACACAGTATCAGATGTTATAAATCGAAATTAAATATTTATACATAGGAATGTTAATTCAATTTTATAAACTTATAATATTTTCGTTCTAGTTTTCATCACGTGTCTGCATGCTAGCCGGTAATGAAAACCTCGTGTTGAATGGATACATGTAGTGACGCTTATATGTATACACTGGCGACAGAAAGTCTGCAACTATTTTCCTTCTTTACACAAACGTATATAATTTAATATACTAAAATGTTCTGTATAAACAATATATTTATTTTTTATTTTCTTTTATAATTCTTCTCTTTGATTTAACATAATTGGGCAGAAAATATATATAATCCTGCTATAAAACTGAAATCGCTGAAACGGACATTTTTCATCAGGATTGAATACTATACAAATAAAATCTCATTGCAATACGTATTAAAATAATAATTCTTTATTTCTTCTGTTACTTTATCTTAATTAATATTGTGTAAATGTTAATGCATTTTCAAAAGAAAATATTTTAATATTTATCATTTTATTTGAAAGTTAGGCATTTATTCTTTGATTTCAATAAGAAAATGAAAATATACTTTTTATAGTGTGTGCAGTTTCTATTTCAAAATTGTTACTTGGTGTTTTATATTATTATTTAAAATAATCGAATATTTGGCAAATATATAATTTATTTTAAAAAACAAAATTATGAAATTGATTTGCACGCAGCTTTATTTTTAAACAAACTTATTTACTATTTCCATCGGAATAATTATTCGTTTTCTACATTTATTCTTTTCATTTCCTACGTAATAATGAGTTAACTAATTGATAGAATGTAATCTATAGCAAATAAGGTTGAAAAATTATAACGTTCATTTTTTCACAGTGAGCGTACATTTATTATATTATAGGCTGCGTGTAAAGCCTACCCCGTCTACAGGCTGCCCATACTTTTTTTTTATCGTACTACTTGCAGACTAATGCTTTACGAAGATCGATTTGTTTGAGTCACAGGTGCGCAACGTCCATGAATACCTGATGCACAAATCTACTAGTATTTGTCAAAGATTTGTCCGTCTGTATTTCGTCAAGTTAGGATCAGTACATATGTGCATTCGACAATAGATACTATGATGTATATAAGTACAGCTGCACACTCTTTATGTACCACATAAGAATGGTGTATATTAGACATGTGTAACTTCAAATATATTTATTATATGTATAAAAATGTATACAGTCAGCAAAAATTGAAATTTCAGCATTTGTTTGAAACGCCCAATTATATTTCTATTTAAACTTTTGATTATTGCAATTAATCCTTTAGTTTATTGATATACAGTATTATCTAGACTACTAATGATTTGAAATTGTATTGCCTTCTTGTCATACGTATGTAAAACTATGCAAGTAAGATAATTTAAAGAAGTTAAAGGATTTACACTAATTCACAGCAAAGTTTCAGAAATTGAAAATTGATAACACAAAATAAATTGTGAAACGTCACAATATTAGGGGTATACTATAGAAAACAAATATTTATGAGTCACTTTCTCTCATCAATAGGAAAGCCTATCTCCAAAGTTTCATTTTGATTAATTACAGACATAGTTGCACATAAATTTGTATACAGTTTCAAAAAACAAAAGACTGTATACAAATTATTTGGGTTGATTTACTCTTCTTAATGGTAAAAAATATGTTTCATGAAATAGGAAATTTAATATTTATATTACTCTCTGGAACTTTTTGACTTTATTTTACCTGAATCGACATTTTTCCACTTATCTTGTTATAAAATAACATCAACAAATAATATTATTAAATTTTGACTTATAAAAGAATATATTTCTTTAACTTAATTTTGAAATCATAAATAACTTGAGCATTATACAAGAATTGACACTCAAATTTGACCATGGATAATATTTTACCGCTTGCGAACTTCGCTTTAATCCAATTATTAAGAAAACACAATATAAATATCATTATTGGTGTTTATTCAAACTATCAAAAGTAACAATATCATTAACAAAACTTGTCCATTTTCTTTCTGAATTACAACAAACACAATAAAGGTACTCCAATACAATGTATTTTTTATTTGTAATTTAATTTTTATTGAATACATTGCATGTATATTTATGAATTTTAATTCAAAGTGTCATTTTCAATTAATGTATTTTTCTTTCATCGTAGCTTTGAAGGGCTAGTATTCAATTTACAGAATATCAGGACATATAAAATTCTGTGTTCGATCATTTTGAAGTGAAACCAAACACAGTTGACCAAAAGTCGCCTACTTCCGTTAGTCAAACATAATAGGAAGAAAATATATTTTTACTTTTCCATGTATATATATATATATATCCGTCTATTATTTCTCTGTCTTAACGAAGGGCTACACGTTGAAAAAGCACGAGGCAGTCAATTAAGACTTCCTTCTAGCGACGCGTACGCTCCCTTGAAGACTTGCTTTATCACCTCTAGCGACCGGAAGACCCGTGGCGCGTTCGTTTCTCTGCCGACAACAAAACCTTCTCCGAATGTGAACGCACGAAAAAGCACCAGGTGCCGACCAGTGGAACTTTCTTTTCTCGCAAATAGAAGAGGCAAATTACAAAAAGATTTCAGCTCGTCAGAGGACAGATCCGAGTTTATTGTTTTGGACCAGCGCCAATGTACAAGGTGTCTTGTAACTGGTGGTTCGTCAAGAAGGGGATGATTCTCTATGAAAAAGATATGTCAAACATATTATCATTTGATAAAGTTAATCCCTTAAGTCTATTCGTTAAACAGTTAAAAGTTAACTAGTTAACTATACTCAACGAGTATACACGTTACCTTAAAACTTAAAGTAACAATAACTTTTTCAACAATTACTTATTTATTCTTCCAAATAAACATGTAAATCTTCTTCATTTTACTTTAGTATTTTGTTTTAATATATATTAGATGCATTTGTCTTGTGTTCGACGTTTATACTATTCATTGGTTGATTTGATTACACACCTCACGAAAGATTTTCGAGACCGAATTCCACAGTTAAGTGGTTGACGATATGTTGATGATTCGTGTATGTATTTACTTGGTGGAGTCGGTCGAATATAAGTCAAGCAATCAACAAGTAAGTTGTACTTATGTTACATGAGAAAA